GATCCCATCCAGATGTCCTGAGGCTGCTCCAGCAGTGAAGGAACGTGCTGGGAGCAGTGGTCAGCCCTGCTGAGCTCAGCCTGATGTCCATCCTGGCCTTCAGCCTTTCCCAGCTCTGGGCTGACCATCCTGGGTGGATGCTCTGGATCTGCTGTTACTCCTGGGAATGCTGTGGGAGGCTCCTGAGGAACAGGATTGCTGTCCAAGCACTTGTTCTGCTGAGGTTGGGCCGTGCAGCACTGACTTTGCTCTTTGGGGTCTGTCCAGACAAACTGTGCACGTGACAATGGTTCACTGGTCCCAAATTCCTGGCTGGGGCCAGGACGTTCTCCAGGGGTTCCTACAATAAACTGACTTGGTTATATCATCTTGTTTTGCTCAGTAAATCCCAGCTTTTGTTCTTGTTTTCCTCCTGGTGTGGAAGAGGGATTGCAGTTCCTGCTGTGAGATCTGCAGGCACTGCAAAGTGCACCAGCAGCTCTGAGATGCCTGGAGAAACCTGGGAATCCTTTCCTGCCTTACCTGTGAGATGCACTCACAGAAACCTTCTCTGTGCTCACTGTAATTTTGCCTTTGTGGAATCTCCCTGGTTTCTCTCCCTGGTGGCCCAGTGCCCTCTTCATGACCCATGAAATGTCCACCTGCAGACCCCACTGAGGCCAGGAAGGAGTGGGCTGATCCAAGGATTTGTTTTTCTAGCCCCTCTCCTCAAGGTATCCCTTCCATCCCAGCAGAGCAGTGCCTTGGGGACAGCAGATGGGATCCAAGTGTGTGCTGCAGCAACCCAGGGATGCCTGGAGGTGCCACCAGGACTGGCTGTCCTTGTGCAGGGAATTCCAGGTGCCCTGGGTATTGCTGTGGCTCATCCCCAGGGATGCAGCTCTCCGGAGAGCAGGGCTGGGATCCGCCGGGCTAATCAGGACAGAAGGAAGATGAAATAGAGCTGACAGGGAGCTTTAATTGGTGAGATAAAAACGTGTCTGACAGGGAGGGACCTTCCCCACGAAATAACAGGTGGGAGGTGAAAAGAAATCATTTATCAATAACCTGGGAGAGGAGGAAACAAAGCATTTATTGGTGATGTGGGAAAGGTGAAAACAATGCATTTCTTGTTCATCCAGGAAGGAATCCCTCGTGCTTGTTCAGTCACCCTGTTGTCCTCTCACTTGGGTGAGTTCACACCTTTCTGTGCAAAGTTTTGGGGGATTTGCCACTCCCTGGGAGGGTGTGAGGCTCTGGCACAGGTGCCCAGAGAAGCTGTGGCTGCCCCTGGATCCCTGGAAGTGTCCAAGGCCAGAGAACGAGGCTTGGAGCATCCTGGGATAGTGGGAGGTGTCCCTGCCCATGGCAGGGGTGGGATGGGATGAGCTTTAAGATCCCTTCCCACCCAACCCATTCCATGACTGAATGATCCTACAGCTGCTGGAATCATTCAGGAGCTGGGCAAGGAACTGAGCTGTTCCCTAAACCAGGAAAAGCTGCCACTGTCAGGATTCTGTTCCATGCAAACCGCTCACCCCCAGCTCAGGAGATCCCATCCCATCCCTGCTCTGTCCTGCCCTGGCACAGCCCTCTGTGACAGCTTCCAAAAAATCCCTGCTTTCCCTCCTCCCTTGATGTGCCAAAGCTGCCGTGTGTAATTAGTCCTCAGGTCTCAATTAATCCCTTCACCGTGGATCCCACCCTGTTCTTCCTGTCGCTCCTCCCCCTCTGATGCAGTCTGGATGTGTTTTCCTGGCAGGGATGCTGCCACAGCTCGGCATCTCTGGGAGCTCAGGCTCTGGAGACTGCTGGAATCTGGGTCTCGGGTACAACAACCCAGACACCAGCTGGGCTGGGGAGCAGCTGACGTGGCACAGGGGGTTTGTGTTCCTTCCTCCTCGCTTTTCCCAAGGATGCAGTGCTGGACCAGCCCCTCTCACACAGCTGGGATCCAAACCTCCCTTCCCAAATTCCCCCTCTCCAATGGCTCTGCTGTGCCAGCCCCTCCTCGTGCTGTCAGAACATAAAAATTCCAGTGCAGCCTAAAAAAATGATCCAAACCTTCAACTGACCGAGTGCAGCTGCCAGCCTGGACATAAAGCAGCAGGGCTGGATAATTTCCATGGATTTATGGCCCACCTGGATGGGCATTTTAGTGGGCCTTAGGTAGATCTGCAGGAGCCAGGCTCATAAGACAGGGAAATCCACTGAATTACCTCTCTCTCTGGGCTACTTCTCAGAAATATTTCTGGCCTTGGGCAAATGTGGAAAGCCCAGGACAAAGACAAATTGCTCAACTTCTCAGGATTAACAAAGGAATCATTATTTTGGACCAGGTGGATTGGGAGCCAATTAATATTAGTCTGTGGTTGTCTTTCCTACTGAGCAAAACTCAGCTTGACTGAGTGAAGAGAGAGCTGAAAAACCCAAGCTGGATTTGTGCTGGTCCAGGGGTGAGAGCAGGAATAATTAGGCAGGCACCAGTGGGAAAAATCCAGTCAGGAAATCACCAGTGCTTTTATTTGATGGATAGCAAGAGGCATTTTGGTGCTGTTTTACAGATATCTAAATATCTGTGTCTGCAGGCTTCTGTTGAACCTGCTCCTGACAGGACTTTTGTGTCCTGCACTCGAATGCACCAAAAAAAAAAAAAAGAGTCCTCGAGAGTCTTTCCAAAGAGTGAAAGCAGAATTCCAAACCCCAGGGGTGAATTCCCAAGGCTGCAATCCCAATATATCGTTTTTTTGGTTCATTTCAAGTGTGCAGCAAGCGTTGAAGTGGGGGGGGGGGAAAAAATGATGACTAAGGACCCAAAAGGAAAATCCAAAACAGCACAAAAAAAGGAAGAGGTGGGAAGATGATGGACAGTTACTGTGGAAAATGGAATTTCAAAATTATCCTTTCCCCTGTCCACCCATAGCCCTGTGCCTGGAAAGGGAAAGGAAGGAGAAGAGGAAGCAAAACTGCGACAGGAGGGAATCAGACCATGTAAGGAAAAGAACTGAATTTAACTGGCACATGCTCTAATCCTTAGTTTATTTCTGGTTAAAAATATAGCAATCCAGTGCAGTGTAATAAGAAATCTGCTGAAAAGGTAGCAGAGAAACAGCTAAAACAGAAGCAAAGCAAAGCTGAGTCCACGAGTCCGGGCTGGATCCAACAACTCTGGACGTGAATGTCGAGGAGGGCTTTTCCCTCCTTCCCCACCCCCAAAATCTCCTGTGAGGGTCTCCCCCCTCCTCGGAGCTGCCACCCTCCTGCACCCTTCTCCTGCTGCTGGAGCTGCAGGGGGGGACTGAGGGTGGGATTTGGTCCCTGGCCCTGCCAAATCCCAAAGGAGCCGTGGGAGCTGGTGGTGGTGGAGCACCGTGGGGAGGGAACGGGAGCTTTGGGAAAGCCACTTCCAAGGGCTGGAGCTGAGAGCACGCTGTGTGATGGGGACCAGGACAGCTCAGAACAGGGATAGGCATCTTTAATGAGTAATGCAGATTATCCGTGGGGACAGGGAGGGGACAGAAATCAAGGCAGGCATAGTACAAAGATGGTAGAAACGAACAAATTAAGTGACATAGAAAAAAAAAAAAAAGAAAGAAAAGACATCCTTAGAGGCTGCCATTGCCAACGATGTTTGGTTTGATTTTTTTTTCTTGTTTTTTTTTCTTGTTTTTTTTTCTTGTTTTTTTTTCTTTTTTTTTCTTTTTTTTTCTTTTTTTTTTTTTTTTTTTTATACAGGGACATGTTGGAAGCTGGAATATACATCCTGCATTACAAAGTGCAAAATACTACATGCTCAGAGCCCAAGCATGATGTCTGAAACAGTCCACAGCAAGATGTAAGAGACAAACCCACCACCCTCTCCCTCCTCTCTGGGACATGCTCCAGGTGCTCCTCCCCAGGTGCCTTTGAGAAACAGTTGGATTTTTGCTTGGTTTTGTTTTATTCTCCATCCTCAGTGGATTGGAATTGAGCCCTCTGTCCCCTTGTCCCTCCCCACCCTGCTCCCTCTGCAGATTTTTTGGGATGGGCTGGATGCTCCTCACCAGCACAGCACCGTCAGCCACTCCATCTGTGCTGCTGGAGGTGCCTCCAAAGGGGTTTTTTGGTGGGAAGTTTTAGCCAGGAGAAATTGGCTGTGAATTAAAAGTAACTCTGGGTGGTTTTCCAGCCTTGCCACGGGTGAGGAGCAGCCTGGGGAGGAGGAGTGAAGGCTGGAGGGTGCTGGGGCTGCTGCTCACACCTCGTGTTCCCTATTCCCCCCTGCCCCGAGGAATTCTGCAAAAAGCCAATTTTTGTTTTAAAAACAAGGATCAGAATGGGGCCTGTTGTCCCATTTTCCCATCCAGACAGGGTTCATTCCTTCCCTGTGCTCCTTCTCTCCTCCTTCTCACAGCAGCATTCCTCCATTTCCAAAGGGTGAAAAGCCTGATTTTGCTTTTCTCTCCCATTTATCATAAAAGCTTTTGTGGATTTCCCTGGGAAACTCAGCCTGGAGCATCCCAGAACCCATCCCCACTCCACCCAAACTCTCCCCATGCTCCCCTCGTCTCATCTCCATTTTGGGGTTCATTGCTGTTGTTACAAAGACAATTTTTTTGGAGAGGGGGGGATGAGGGGAAGGGAAACGAGGTTTTTTTTTCTTTTGTTGGGATTCCTTCTCATCCTTCCCAGTGTTGGGGGGGCAGAGTGTTGATAGCATTTTGCCATGCCACACAGCATAGTGTTATACAAGCAAAGAATTTTGGCTAAAATCCAAAAAACATTACCCAGGAAAAAAGGCAAACTGTGAGTGAGACTCGATCATTTGTTGTTCTTCTGTGAAAAGACTTGGAAATTGTCGGAGGACAGTTCGAGTTATGATTTCTTTTTTTTTTCCCTTTGTTTTTTTTGTTGTTGTTGTTGTTGTTTGGTTCTGGTTTTTTTTTTGTTGTTTTTGTTTTGTTTTGTTGGTTTTTTGTTTGTTTTTTTTTTCCCCCATTCATACATGTAACTGTTATTTTTGCAAACAAGACAGTCTTGAATTAGATGAAAAAGTTAATAAACAAAATGGCGACTCCAATATTTAGTAAGATCACCATGACTACCAGGATGGGAGCTGAACCCTGCAAGAGAAAGAGAAGGACAGGAGTTAGATGGATCCTTGGAATTCTGCAGGGAGCTCTGGGGATGAGCAGATCCCAATTTACACCTCCCAAAACCCTTGGAAGATTTTTTAAGCTGCCAAAAAACCACTTGGCTGCACCCCCTGATGGATGATGGATCATCCCATGTCACTCCCATAGGAATTCTGGCCTTAAAAACACAACTAAAATTGGTTGTTTATCAGGTAGTCAATGAAAAGGAAAATAAAACCAGCAAAGAAAGCAGATTATATGGAATCTTAGAGTGGTTTGGGGATGGTTTGATGTGTCCACAGGACATTTCCCAATAAACACAGTTGTTTTCCAGGTATCCTGGACAGCAGGCCAGCACATGGCGTCCATGTTCAGGCAACCTTTTGGGAATGCTCTGATAACCTTCCCTGAGTTTGTGTGGATCAGATGAAGCTCCTGGGAACTACCTGGAAGTGTCCAAGGCCAGGCTGGATGGGGCTTGGAGCAGCCTGGGATAGGGGAAGGTGTCCCTGCCGTGGCAGGGGATGGGATGGGATCAGCTTTGAGGTCCCTTCCCACCCAAACCATCCCAGGATTCTGTGATTTTATCTGGAAAACATTGCAGGAGCCCCAGTGCAGCTGCCCCGTGCACACACCCACCCCAGCTGGGCTGAACATGCCAGGAATGGTTCAATCCCTGCGGGAGCATCCATTGCTTCCCCTGGAGCACATCCCAGACAATCCCACCAACATCCCAGGAACATCAGGGCGCTGCAGCCAGCCCTCCAACACATCCTTCTGTGGGACACTGGTCAGGAAAACATCCCCTGGCACCTCATCCCCGGCACCTCATCCATCCTGGCACCTCATCCCTGGCACCTCATCCCTGGCACCGCCGGCCCCGGTGCCACGGTGTGAGCGTGGCTCGCACCAGGGCGAGCGACGCTGGCAGCGGGTGGGTGGTTGCTATTTCTTGGGAGTCGCTGGGATCCTCGGCTATTCCTGCTGCATCCAAGCCCTGGGATGGTCCAAATGCTTTTCCCCAGGCTCCTGTCCCCCTCGTGGCGCTGCCCATGTGGGTGGGATGGAGCGGGGACAGGGCTGGGCACCCCTTGGGAGCTTTCCCTGGGCGGCTCTGCGGAGCTGCTGGCAAAGAAACGGGAAGAAGCAGCTCCTGGCTGGCCTGGGATGGTTTCTTTTCCGAGCAGCCTGATTCAGCTCGCGTTTGGGAGTGGGTGGGAGCGAGGATGCTGGAGCCTGCTGGAAAGGCATATTTGTAACTTAGCAACAGGGTCAAAGGCAGCCAAGCCAAGGCAGGGATTGAGGAGAGCAGCCAGGTGCCCATCCAGGCCTGGCTGCTCCTGGCAAACCTCTCCTGCTGTGCCATGAAAACCTTTCCAAAGGCAGCAACCGCCCCCTGCTCGCCGCTCCTTCCCTTCCCAGCCCGGCTGTGCCAAGCCCGGCCTTGCTGGCACTGGGAGGGATTAGCTGCATTTCAGAAGATTATTGGGTTTTAGGGTTTTTGAGCTGCTGGTAATATAATAACAGATTGTGGGTGATTATCAGTGTCATTGTTTGCCTTGGCACGGCCCCGCCGAGGCGCAGAACGCGCTCCAGCCCCCGGCCCCACGGCCAGGGAGGGCTCAGCCGCGCTTCCAGCGGCCCTGAGCTGCTCCATGGAGCAATTCCCTGCCAAAACAGCCCAGCCAGCGCTGCCCCTGCTCTGCTCACGCTGCTGATCCCTCCAATTCCCTGTTCCCTCTCTTTGGGATGCACCTGAGGTCCAGCCCTTTGGTGGGATGTGTCCAGGGAGGGAGCACAGCCTTCGCTGGTCACTTCTCCCAGGAAAAAGCAACGGGACAAGAGGAATCAGCCCTGAGTTGTAGCAGGGAGGTTCAGATTGGATATTTGGGAATAATTCCTCACCCAGAGCAGTGGTGGAGTCCCCATCCCCGGAGCTGTGTGGATGTGGACCTGGGGCAGTGCTGGGGGAACGGCTGACCTCAATTCCAGAGCATTTTCCAGCCTAAGCGATGCCGTGGATCTGTGATTTTCACACAGGGCAGCAAAGCTGTGCCCTCAGCTGGAAAAATGGGGGGGATCCAACACGGGCTCACATCAGCAGCCCCTGGATCCTCAGTGCACAGAGGTTGTGCTCAGCCCTGGCTCAGGCTGTTTGCATCCTGCAGCCCCCGAGCAGGGCAGGGATCTTCCACTTTTCCCAGCCACAGCATCCCAGGAACAGGATGACCAGGGAGGGGTGGCAGCTCTTGGAAGCAACCAGCTCAAATCCAGCTGACACCTCACAAATTTTGCTTCCTTTTTACAGCTCCCTCTTTTTAACCCCGTCCTCCCTGTGCTGCTCCAGCCAGGGCTGTCCAGGTGGGAATGGCAGGGAATGGCAGCTGCTGCTGGATAAGCAGCTTTGCCACTCCAAAGCTTCTGCTTTAGCTCCAGTTACGGATCCTGCTGCACTTCTCAATGCTTTGTCTGCCTGATTTCTGCCTTGTGAGGTCTCGGTGCCTTCCCCTGTGCTCAGAGGGAGTGTTTGCCCTTCTCCCCTGGCGTGGCAGGAGCTGTGACAGCGCTGAGCATCGTTCCTGCTCCGTGCCTGGGCAGGAGGTGGATCACTGCTGGAGCTGAGCTTTGGGAGAGAGGCTTTGCTGAGCCCAGCCTGGCTGCAGGGCTCTGAACTCCCTTTTGCTGCAGCAAAGAACCAGTGCTTTAAAACCAATGGCTTTTAAACCCTTCCCGCTGCGTTCCAGCCTCCAACAGGAGCCTTTGGAAACAGGAGACAGCCCCTGATTTGCAGCTTTGCCTGTTGCTGTCACAGTTTGGTGAGGCCTTATCTCATCTTTGGCCTCCTGTGGAATTGAGGAATGGTTTAGGTTGGAAGAGACCTTGAGGATTCTCTCATTCCAGCCCCCTGCCACGGGCAGGCATTTCCTGGAGACTTATTTTAATTTTTTTACAATAAGATCGCTGGAGTCCTTCACAGGAGAAGGAAAACATCTGCCAAGAATGGGAATCTCCACCAATATCAGCAAAAGGATCCTTCTCTATCAACAGGTTGGATCCCCAAGGATTTTTAAGCTTTGTTTCTGAGCTGAAAGAACAGGAATTTAGACCTAAACCCATGGAAACACTAAAATAGGAGTAAACCATGGTTATGGCACAGGAGTAATAACAGTAATTGTAGCTGTAGAGTAACTCCTGCCCCTCTGCCTTGTTTGTTTTTATCCTGGAACTGTTGTGTAGCAACTCCAGAGTTTTCCTGGGAATACGACGGACAGCTGGTTTACAAATGCAATTGTGGCATAATTAATTTAAGCATTAGCAATCCATTATTATCTGTTATCACAGGGTACAAGCTCTGCCTCTCTGCCATGGAAACCAGAGTGCAGGTTACCTAGGAATCCCTCTGGGATCTATTAAGAGTAATTACTAAGGACTTGGATCAGCAAAAAAAAAAAAAAAAAATTAAAAAAAAAATATAGATATGCACCATTTTCCAGCCTCAGCACTGCAGAAAGGGCTGCAAACTTAGCAGCTCGGTGACATTTGTGCTGAATTGTCACATCATTGCCAGGAACAGGCTCTGTGAAATGGTTAAGGAGCATTTAGCAAAGGAAACATCAGGGAGGCGCTTGGCTTTCTCCAGCGGATTGCAGCAGCTCCCGCGGCTCCAGGAAGAGGCCCAGGAGATGCTAAAAGTGTTTGAGTGAGTGAAAGTGAGTTGGGTGGGAAGGAAAAACCTGCTGCTGGGGGGGAAAAAGGCTAAAAAACGGAGAGATTATCCTCTTAGAGATCCTTTAGCCTCTTAAAGATCTGGTTTGTCACCCCTGGTTCAATCCTCACCTCCAGCTGCTGCGACTGAGCTCCGTGTGCTTGTTTAGGTATGTTTGAGGCTTTAATTTTAAGATTTTTATTCTGAAGCCAGCAGTCAAAATTTGGTTCTAATGCAGTCAAAAGCTGGTGTTTGGGCCTAAATTTTCCAAGCTAAGAGATGGAATTGGGCTCAACCCCCATATGCAGATGACAGGAGCAGAGCCAAGAAGGTGCTCCCAGGTACATCAAAGGCCCTGGAGATGAAACAGCTTTGAAAAGGACCCTGTCGAGTTGAACATCCCATTTCTCTCTGAAGATTATTTACCTCAGGTTGTCTGAACACGAAAGAGATTAGAGAAGGAACAGTTTGTGATTATTATTTGTCTTAAGAAGAGACAACCCCTGCAGTGATGTTCAGCCCTGCCTCATTCCAGAGGTGTGATGGCAACAGGACTCCTCTTCCTCCTTATTCCCATGGAATGATGGTTCCTGTTTGTCTGGACACGCAGCTGCCACTGGGATTGGGGGTGAATCTGGTTGGTTGAGATGAGAGGAGCAAGGAAAACCCCGGGATGGTTGTGCTGGGAGAACCCGGGGATGGCTCCCCATGGGGGAAAAAAATAAATGGGAAAACCTGAAGCTGGAATGGCACAGGGATAAATCACGGGGTTTAATCCCAGGGATGTTAATGCCAAACAAGTCCCCAGGTCCCTTTCCTAGCAGCCTCATCCCAGAGCAGCCAAATGGGAACATCTCCATGCACAGGGAAGCTTCACACCCCCAACAGGGGGTGCTTGGTTGGGACGGAGAAAACACCCAGGTTTTATTTTTATCTCATTTTACGACCTTTAGGGCTAGAGGTGCCAAACTTCCTTAAAAAAAAGGAAATTGAATGAATCCCTGGCAAGGGGAGCATCCAGAGGGGGGGAGCTGCCGGTGCCGGGCTCCATCCCCCGTTCCCCGAGCCCCCTGCCCGCATCCCCGGCTCGGGCAGCTCGGCACATCCCAGCTCCGCCTGCACATTGGCTGCCTGCTCCTCCTGCCCTTCCCCAGCCACAGGAACCTGCCGGATCCCTCTGGCAGATCCTTCCCTCTGCCGAGCGGGGATGGAGAGGCTGCGCTGCCGGACCGCGGGGAGCCGCCGGCTCCCGGACATCCCACGGCCGGGAGATGCTTTTCAAACCTCTGCTGCCGCTCTTTCCCCGGGAATTCTGGGGGAAATACGGGCTGGGATTTGCCCTTTCCCAGGAAATTTGACATTTCCTGGCGTGGGAAATGTCAGAGCCATCCCCACGGTGCTCTCAGCGAGGCCAGGACGCGGCCCTGGAAGCATCCAGGGATCGCCGGTGATCGCTAAATGAGGACAGGAGGATGAATCAGGCTGAGCCCCGGCCCTTCCCGCTGAGCTGCTCCGTGCCCAAAGCGCTTCTCCTCCCCGTCAGAAGCCGCAGATGTCCAGGAAAGGAGATCCATCCCCTCCTCTGCCTCCCCAGCCCTGCCATGGGGTTTGTGCCCGTGGACAAAAGGCTCGCTGGCGTTTTAGTGGGCTTCTTTCCTTTGCCAGCCTCTCAACAACTCCTTTTTTCCTTTCCCATTTTAGTTCTCCTCAAAGGCTCCAGGAGCCTGTGAAGCATCCAGGCACAGGCTTTGTGCCTCGTGGGCCTTTAAGGCCGGGAAGGACGGTGACGTTCCTATAAATCCCTTAATCCCACAACACCGGCGCCGGTCCTGGCACGTTTGCTCCGGTTTTCCTCATCCCCAACGCTGACAAATGCTGTGAGTTTGTCCTGTGGGTGCTGGGGTCAGTGCCCACAGAGGCACCGTGAGATCAGGAGGCCTTAAATGTCATTTTAAAGCATTTGTGTGGCTCAGTGACCCCGAAACCCCCAAATCCCCTGAGAGCCAACACCAAGCGCTGCTGAATTTCATCGACGTTATTGAGCCGTGGCCTCAAGAAATGACCTTTATGAGAAGATTTTTCAATTCCTGATGTGCAGCCCCAACAAAGAAGTTCCGTGAGTTTCTTTTAAAGGACTGGGGAAAAGTGACAGAGCAGAACAAAGTTCCTACAGCTCCTCCTGTACGTCTGACTCCTCTGTGGAGTGTGCGTCCCTGCCTGTGAACACTTTGGAAAAGCTTGGATTCAAGGCCCGTGGCTCCCAGCTGGTTTTTCAGGCAGGAATCACGAGCAGTGATTTTTTTTGGAGTGTGTTTTTGTAGGACGTGCACCCCCAGCCCTTTCCAGAGGTGTGCTGCCAGAGCCACCCCCCTGGGCTCATGGATGGCTTGTGCAGAGCTGGTTTAGGGCAGATTATTTTTAAAACAAGCTAAGCTGTGAGGGTGACCTCGCTTCTGCTCAGGGATACCTCAGGTAGGGCAAAAATAACCGTGCTCAGCTCTGAGCATCCTTGCTGCTCGCTGGCAGCACCTTGCTGAGGTGGTGGCAGGTGGGAGCTGCCCTCTGAGCTCCTCCTTTGGAGGAAGCAGTTTCCCAGCCAGCACCGCTGGGATCCAGGGGAGAGCACGGTGGGCTCTCACACACCTGCCCACAGCTGCCTTGCCCCGGAGCTCACGTCCTGCCAGCCCACAGGCAAGGAGGATTTCAGGCCAGTGTAGGAAACTGGGCTTTTGGAGGGATTGGGGAGCCTTGGTTTGCTGTGGGGGGGATGTGGAGCTCGAGCAGGATGCAGGGGGGTTTTGCAGGATGGAGTGTGTGAATGTCCTGTGCGTGGAGATGGGGTCTGTGGGATAAATCCTTCCCCTCCTCTTCCTCAGGGATTCACCACACTCCCTGAAGTCTGAAATGGCAGCTGCAGGTGAGGTGATGGATTTGGGGAGGGGGTTGGAGCACAGATCCCTGCAGCTCCCATTCCTCCCCTACACCTTCCCCTGCTCCTGTCCAGCCACTGGAACAAAACCCTGCTAGCACTGAGCAATTCTTGCTAGAACAAATTGTTGCTGGCATTGTGGGTTATTTAAATCCACATATTATCTCTTCCTCTGTATTACATTAGCTTCCTCCCAAACCTTCGCCATCTGTTCCACCCTCGGTTATGAATGTGAGAAAACTGAACATGCTGCTCCACAGCTCCAGCGCTTCCAAAGTAGGATGTGCATCCTAATGGCTTTTCCATGCACTGCTCTGTGCAGGCTGGGCCCTTCCTCGGTGCCCAGGGCTCGCTGGGAATGGTCAGGAATGTGTTGGTGGCTGTTGGATGTGGAGGGAGGTTTATTGTGACAGCTCCGAGGTGGGAGCACATCTGACGGGCTGGGTGGGGAGAGAGCCCAGGGCTGCTTGTGCCAGCGATCTCCCCAAAAGCACGTGGCTCTCAGCGAGGAGAAACAGTGCTTTCATCCCTCCTGTGGGCCCTGTGTCTCCCAGGCCGTGTTGTCAAAGGTGCTGGAACATCTGCGTGTCCCACAGCCTTCCCAGGGCTGGTGTCTGTGCAATTACTGCTGCTGCTCTTCCCCTCTGGGAGCCTGTCAGGCTCCTAATGCTGCCTGTCATGTCTCCAGTGCTTCCCAGGCAGGCAAGGACAGCCTGCAGGGCTCTGTTTCTCCAGGCCTGCAGGATGTGGAGCCCCCGTGCTCAGCTCGGTGCTGGCTGGGAGCTGCCAAGGCTGAGCCCAGGGCTAGGCAGGCAGAGAGCTCCAGGGCTGCTGGGGGGGATTTATCAGCAGGGAAGCTGGGGCAGATCCATCCTTCCCACATCCCTGGCTGCTCCCTCCTCTCCCTCCCCCTCGGCTCTGCCGGCAGGTGCTGGGGGAGCAGGGATGCTGCAGCCCTGGCAAATGTCACCACACCTCACACACCTCGATGCCTCTCGCCCGAATTTTCAGCCTGACTGACAAATTCATTTCAGTTTCATGACCAGGCACCATCCTGTGCTCCCCTGACAGGGAGATTTAGCTCCTTTCTGCTGAAATGTCACCTCCTGAGCGTGACAGCTACTCCATTTCTCCGGGGTAGGTCTGGGGCATCCTCATGGGACACCTCCAGCCCTGCCCTGTGTTTGGCACTGACTCGACAAGGGGCAGTTTGGGGCAGTTTGGGGCAGTTTGGGGCAGTTTGGGGCAGTTTGGGGCAGTTTGGGGCAGTGGTGGCTTCCCCAGTGCTCCCAGCAGACCCCATCACTTCTCCTGTCAATGCCAAACCAACGGGCACAAGCAAGTGAGGAAGCTTCTAATGGGAAATCCAAGAATCCTCAAAAAACAAGACTGCAAAAACCCCTAAAACCCACCCAGCTCAGCCTTCTCCTGAGGAGGTTCACCATGTCCAGGTCCTCTCTGAGCTGGTGATGTCCAGCCTCAGACCCCTCCTCCCCCAGCCCCGACAATTCATTAGCCCTCACCTCATTAGCGATGGTTAATGGCTCACCCTCCTTGACTTTAAACCCATTAATTCTGTTTGAGGAGAACAGATTATTCCCTTCCACTTTGCAGCAGCTTTTAAGATGGCTCTGTCTTCTCTCCTGGACATCTCCAGCCCTTCCCAGCAGCCAATTCATGCCCAAAGTGTCCTTTTCTCCCCCAAAATGAGGAGGCCAGGGTGGGATGTCTCACAAGGGGCTGTCCTGGACCAGCAGGAAGCTCTGTGGCCATAACCATAACCCAAGGAAGCATCACCAAAGCCTTGCCTGTTCCTTTTCCCACCAAATCCCCAGCAATAATGGATTTTTATTGCTGGCCAGGGGGCTGGGCTCCAAAACTCCAGCTTGCTGCTCACATCCTCCAGGGAACATCCTGCTGCTCCCACCACGGTCTGCAGGGAACTCCCCACAGCAACGTCCAGCAGGATGGCAGGAGGGAGGAGAGGGGATTCAAGGCACAAACCGACGATAATTCACATTTTCCAAATTTCCCTCCCGTCCCGCTCCACTCAGCCCCACGACAGCCCCAGGCTTCCCTGGCAGAATTCCACACACAATCCCTTCACTCACCGTACTGGATTTGAGCGCATCCCCACTGTCCTCTTCAGATTCTAGTGCAACAGGTAAAGATTTCTGTGGCGGGGAGAAGGTTAAGTCCCACCTCAGTAGCCGAGGTTCAGCTTTGTCCCCGAATCTCAGGTTTTCCAGTTTCTGCACCGTGGGCTCGGCAGAGGAAGCTGGCCTGAAATTCTCTTTGTTCTGGGACTTAGACCTCAGTCTCTGAACCCCAAAGCCCCGCTCTTCCCCGCGGTGCTCATCAGCCACGCTCCTGCAGCCTCCCCCTTTGCTGTAGTGTCTTTTTTGGGTGTGAATCTCTTGCATATAAGAATCCATCCTCATGAGGGGCTTCATCTCCATCTCGTAATTGCTCATCTTCTCCTCGTCCAGCTCAAGCAGCTTGGAGCTCCCTGAGCTGTGGTTGTGGGACCTGTGGTGGGAAGTCCATGAAACCGTGGCTGGGGAATCTGTCCACCTCTCTCTCGGCTTGTGGTTGGAGGCCGAATGTTTGTGTCCCCCGCTCCGACCTCTGTAGTCTTCGGGGACGGCGGTGGAGCCCAGCTGCCCGCTGCGCATCGTCCCGCTCCTGGCAGCGCGGCTCCCGCCCCCCTTCTCTTCGCTCCAGCTGTTGGGGCGCAGGTAATCCCCTCCACGCCCCTCCAGCAACATCTGGATCTCACCACCCCTCTCTTCGTCCACCGAGACCTGCCTGGAGAAGTGGGCGCTCTTGTTCCTGCAGGAGGGGCCGAGGGGCGGCGTGGAGCAGGGGCTGGCAGGGAAGCTCTGCAGCGGGCTGTCGTCGGGGGTCAGGTCGGACGGGGTGGTCCCTTTGCGGTACAGCTCGGGGCTCTCTTGCTGCAGGGGTGTCCCGGTGGAGAGGACCTCGATGTCATCGCTCGAGTTCTGCCGCTTCGGCCGCTGGCATTCCAGCCCTTTGGGGGCAGCGGTGGGGAGGAGAGAAGGGAGACAGGAAGGCAGCAGGGTTATTTCTGGTTTCTGGATGCCCCACGGGATTTTCACGGCACGGAACGGGGAGCAGAGGGTTGGGAGCGGCGGGGTGGGATTGGGGCGGCAGCCTCAGAGCTGCTGGCAGCACTGGTGTGACACCAAACCTGCCCTGAGCCCTGGCCTGCAGAGCCACAGCCAGCACGGGAATGCTTTTCAAACCCCAGAGATGTGGAGAAGCCTTCAGCGGTGCACAGCTGCTGGGAGGAGGTTTGATGGTTTTTTGGGAACCAGCCGACCATATTTCCTATCAGTTCCCAGTCTGGAAGGATGGGAAGGGAAATCTGTGATGTGGCTGGTGGCACACCCTTGTGCTCTGTGTTTGTGTGTGCTGGATGTCACTGGGATCACCCTGGGTGTGCTGGGATCATCCTGGGTGTGCTGGGATCACCCTGCGTGTGCTGGGATCACCCCACACCAACAGCCCTCACCCCCCTCCTGGACAGGAACCATCTCAGTTTTCATCTGCCAGGTGCAGGAGTGAAACAGCCACATCTGGGCAGGTGTGCAAGAAAAACCCCACAAACCTTCTATCCAAGAGCTTTCCTGCCCCACACAGCCCAGCAGGACATGGAGATTTCCCTGCTCAGCCCCCAGCACGGGACGGAAGGACGGGGGTCCCGTTCTCTCCCCATCCTCCTCATCCCACTGGAGGCTCCTCATTCCTTAACTCAGAGACTTCCCAGACAGTGGCACCCTGGGGAGGAGCACTTCAGGAGGGGCTGAATGTCTTCTTCTGCTGGAGGAACACGGAACAAAAGGCTCCAACGTGTTCATCACTGATGAAACACCAAATGATTCCAAGCGAGCTAATAGCGGTTAATTCTCCTTTTCCCCTCTCCACTCGTTCCCAGCTAAAGCCATGCTAAATTAGGTGAATAATTTGATAAATATATGAAGTGCCTAATGCCCCTGAAATGCATCTAATTGCAATTGCTATGGCGAGACAAGAAACGAGAAAAGGGAGAGCTCGATTTTCGTGCCATCGTTTAAACAGAAACGCTCGGGAGCGCCCGCTTGGGTCTCTCCACTTCTGCTGAGGAATCTTCTCCCTGGAATCTTTCTGGGGAGCTGCTGGGATGTGCCTTCACCCCTGCCAGGGTTGGGGTACACACAGGGAATGCTGGAGTCCCCATCGGAGCACCGGCAGGGAGGGAAATCGTAACAAAGCTGATTGGAAATCCACCCAAGCAATTGCCGGGAAATGGTCTCCTAATGACTCAAGTTTTTGGGACAATACTCACAGAGTCCAGTCTTCATTTTATTCCCTGTTTGTATGTGGGAGACTGAATCTCCTGGGATTTATCCAGAGCCCCTGAGCAATCCTGGTATTGGTGGGAAGAGAAGGAGAAAGGTGGAGCTCACCCTTCTGTTTTCCTGCACAATATCTGTCTTTGGGATAAAAATCAAATTTTTTTGGGGCTGTTTTCCAGTCATTCCTGTCCCAGCCACCTTCCAAGATCCCAAATGGGGAGCTGAGGCACAGAGGGAATAAATGATTTCATGTGAGAAAGCTGGAAAGCCACCTGTGGGAACAGGCTCACCCAAGGTCTGGCTTGTCCCTGGTTTTTGGGCTTTATCTTCCCCTGTTCAGGAATTTTGCTGGAGTTCCAGGGGTTTGCAAGCTTCCCACCAGCTCCAAGGCCTCCAGAGCTGATCTCCAGCCCCACAACCAGCCACAGGGCCCCACAGAGGGGACAAGAAACCCCAGCGATGCTCCCCCACAGCCAGACCAGGGGAGATGTCACTGAATCCCCCTGATCCCAAATCTCCCCACCCCTGCACGGATCTGCAGGTGGCTCTGCCTTTCCATGGGTTAATTCCTGGAGGGCTGGGGCTCTGGGAAGAGCAGGACTGGAGGTGCTGGGGGGATGCTGGGGCACAGCTGCCCCCCAGCCCTGGAGCCCGCGGGGATGGAGGCGTTTCCTTGCGCAGGAACTCCGCGGATGCACCGGGGCCGGCTTTCGGCACCCGAGGACGTGCAACAATTATCCAGAGCTAAAATTAGTCCTGGAGCACGTGATGTTCCTGGAAGAACGGTTGTGAGAGCGCGAAGGAGGATGCAGAGCACCAAATCTGGATTTCCAGCAGGATGGAGGCTGCCGAGCCCGGACTTCGAGGCTTCAAAGCCAAACCTGTGCCGCCCTGAGGAGCCACATTTGGGGTTTGGGATTTGGGATTTGGGATTTGGGAGTGGTCTCTGGCTCTGGGGTGCTGCTGTCACTGGGGGGACTCAGTTCTCCAGCACCACCCCAGCCATGGGCTGTGTGTGGATGTGATCCTGCTGTGTCCAGGAATTGGGATGAGTAACCATGAAAGGCACCTGGATAATGGGGATGGGAACCATGGGCCAGAGGGCGATGCAGGATACCAAAACCAGATAATTTTGTTTTTCCCAGGTCAAAACTTTTACCTTCCAGGAGCTGCAGCTGCCCAGGGATGCCCAGGGCTGATGCTGAGGTGGGCACGGAGCCCTCTGTGGTGTCCCACAGCACCCACAAACCCCTCCGAGGGGCCACCCAGCACCCCAGCACTCGCTGTGCCGGGTGGGTGGTACCCACACCCACCACCCTGCCAGGAACGCATCCAGCACCAGCATCCCATGGAAAGGGAGCACAGCCAGCAGCCAGGGGTGGGTGGCACTCAGCACCCACCGCAGCACGCCGTGGGTGGCACTGGGGACCTGCAGCACCCTGCGAGGGAGCACAGCCAGCACCGGGTCCTCAACGGGGCTGCACCCACAGCTCTGAATGAGGGGAGAACATCCAGCACCCACAGTCCCAAATAAGGGTGACAAATCCAGCACCCACAATCCTGAACAACGGGGGCACATCCAGCACCCAAAATTCTGAATGAGGGTGACAAATCCAGCACCCACAGTCCTGTAGAAGAGTGACAAATCCAGCACCCAAAATTCTGAATGATGGGGGCACCCACGATCCTGTACAAGGGGGGCAGGCAGGCAGGCAGGCAGGAAGGAAACCACAAACAGTGACTGATTTGCGTGGCTGAGGGAAGGATCAGGTCCCACTGGGTCCAAACTTTCCAAAGAAATCAGGAACTGCACAAGCCATGGGTGTAAGGCCAGTGCTGACCTCTGGGACCATCTGTGTTTGTATCTAGAGCTCTTGTTGGGCTCTTCCTGTGCAACCACCAAGGGCTATGAACTAAAAAAACTGGGGGAAAAGAGGGAATACCGGGAAAAAAGTGCTGAATAAGGTGGAATTGTTGGATATTGGCAGTCCTGTCCTAAATCCCTCAAAAGCTGGTGTTCCATGGAGCTTTCCCACTCCAGGAGCTCTGGTGGGGATCGGGAGCTGCGGGCACAGGCTGAACCTCCAGGCTGGGGAGTTTTGGGGGGTTTGGGGTCTGTGCAGGGCTCCGAGGGGCGGCTCCTGGACTGACCGTTCTCCCTGTGCTGGAAGGAAGGCGAGAACTCTTTGGCAGTGATCCTGGCGATCCGCGCTTCCTCCTGAGCTTTCTGTGCCGCCGTCACGGCCGCCTCCGCCTTGGCCCTGGAGTGAGAGGTCCTGCAAGGCAACACCAGACACCAGGACCCCGTTAGGCAGCCATGGAAAACCCCAAATTTCCCCCACAGATTCCTCCAAAACCCTTTGGCTGTGAGGGAGGAGCTGCCAGCAGAGCATGGGGATGGTTGGGGAATGGGGGATTTTCCAACACCTTCATGAGCTGCTCCTCAGCCTGGAAATCACCCAGGAAATTCAGAACCAGGTGCAGGATTTGTTCCCTCAGCATTCCTCCATCCCATTTCCCACCCCATCCCGGCAGCCTCTCCATGCACATCTCCCACGAGCCCCCAGGCTTGAATTTAAAGCTGATTTTTGGTTGTTTTTTTTTTGTTTTTTTTTTTTTTTATTTAACCAAACCCGTTTGCTCTGGGGATGAAAAAAAATAAAAAACCCACCAAAAAACCCGGAACATTTCCACGCCCACCCCCACGTTTTGCGTAAAATGCTGGATGTAAATAAATACTGGGAGCAGAGGTAGGAGCGGGGGGTTCGGCTCCGGTGCCGCCTCCACCATCCCTTCACACATTTTGATCAGGGCATTTCTTTCCCTCTGGATCAACAACTGTCCCCAGCACTCGCCCATGATTCCCCAAGGGCTTTTTTTGGATGGCATTTCATCCCATCACTCAGGATTTACAGCTTCTCTGAGAGCATCCTCCGGAGGTTGCTTTGCCCCTTTTTTCCCCCTTATCCGAGCTATCCAGGCACTTTCAAAAATTCCTGCTCCCACCCCGGTGCAGGCAGGGTTATAAATAACTCCGCTGATTTCTTTTCCCTCCAAAATCAGGCCCTCCATCTCCTTTAATCATTTTTTTTTTTTCTGCCTCTCTCTGAATTCCCTCTAATTTCTCGACATCTGCGTGGAGAGGGAGTGCCATTTCTGACAGGCTCCTAAAAATGGAAAACAGGGCCAGGAATGTGCCTGCTTTGGTTGGAAGTGTCGCCAGGGCTGGGGAACAGGGTGTGAGTGTGGCTGTGCTGTCACCTGGGTTTCGCTCCTGACTCTCCTCAAGCCTCTTTGCTCTAATAAACGCTTTATTCCCAGCCCTTGGCTGCTTTGGAGTAGCCCTGGCTGCGAATCCGAGCTGTTTTCCAGAGTTATTGGAGGTGCTGGAGGGGCTGTGGTGATGCTGTGGTGATCCTGAGGGTTCTCCCTGATTGATGCACCCAAAAATTTGGTTTCAATGGGATTTTTCCCGCCTGGAATCCAGCGCTCTCCCTGCTCAGTGGGGTCAGAGGAGGGGACAAAGGTGTCCCAGCCATTCCCTGCCAGGCGTCCCAGCCCTGCTCTGTTAGGGATGCCCCAAACTGCTGGGAGAGGAGGTGCAGACTGTTTTTCATGGAATCATGGAATGGTTTGGGTTGGAAATCCATTAAAATCCATCTCTTTCCAACCCCTGCCATGAGAAGCTTCCATTTGTCCGGGTTGGAATAACCTTGGACATTTCCAGGGATCCAGAGGCAGCCACAGCTTCTCTGGGCACCTGTGCCAGGGCCTCCCCACCCTCACAGATCTTGGGAATTTCTTCCCAATATCCCGTCTAAATCCACCCTTTTTCAGCTTAAAGCCATTCCCTCTCGTCCTGTCCCTCCATGCCCTGTCAAAGTCCCTCTCCAGGTCTCCTTTCATCCTCATTTTTGGCACCAGCATGTCCTGTGGGAAAGGCTGGGGCATCAAAGCTGTGGATGAAACCATCAGAGCCACCAGGAGGTTAAAATTCAGATTCTGCCTCTCTGAGCTCGTTAAACCTCTGCCATCTTCCAGGGCAGCTCCTCAGGGATGTGGATTTGAGGATCCTCCATCCATTTATCCCCGTGCCGTGCCCTGGCCTGGGAGCTGCCCGGGGCTGGGCTGGTCCCTGCCTCACTGCAGCCTTTTCCCAGGTCCCTGCTGGCCCCAGCCGAGGATTAACAACGTCTGTGAGCGCCTGGCCCGCACTCAGCAGCCAGGATTACGCTCTGCTCCCGACACTCCTCCCTGGAGAGGCGGCTGGAGGCTCTCATCCCTCTCTGCCTGCCAGGGAAGGAGGCTGGAGCAGCAGCCCGTGCTGCTCCAGGGGGCTGGGGCACACGGGGGTGGTGGCACAGCTGGAGGAGCCCCCACGGAGCCCCCACCCCAGCCCAGGGTTCTGGGATCGCCCCAGATCTGCTCCTCTCTCAGCACTCAGCACCCCCTTGATGGAACCACGGGATCCTTGAGGGTGGAGAAGAGCTCCAGGATCACCAAATCCAAGCTGTGCCCACCTTGTCCCCGGCCCGGAGCTCTGAGTGCCACATCCAGGAATTCCTGGGACACCTCCAGGGATGGGCACTCCAAACCTCCCTGTGCACTTCCAATTCCTGATCCCCCTTTCCATGGGGAAATTCCTGCTGCTGTCCAACCAAGAATGGATTAAAATCACCGTCCCTGGGGGATGGATGCATTTCTGTCCCTGGAAAACTCACTCCAGAGACTTCTGGATCTGCTCAGGACGCCCAGGGTCGGCCCTGGAAGCGCAGGGAATTTCAAAAATGAAAACCTGGGGCTTTGGCTCAGAAAAGGTTAAAAATCAATCACATCAATGAAGCCACCTCTGATCCAAAACACACTCAGGGAGGGATGGAATGCACTGGATTCCCTGGAGCAGATGGAATGGCCTGGATTCCCCGGAGCAGATGGGATACACTGGATTCCCCGGAGCGCACGGAACGCCGCCGATTAATTGTTTGTAAAGCTCCCTGAGACGCTGGGAGGAGTGAAAAGCAGAATTATGGAGATCCATACGTTGCATAATAAAATCCATAAGTATTCCCAAATAAATGCCAGTAATCCAGTTAGTGCTCGCATGACTTTGTCACATCCTAAATTTACCAGCTGTCTCCTTTCTCCACGCCTGCTGCTCGTGGCGTGCGCTAAATCTTAATTCCCATTTAATTGCCTGGAGTTTATTTCCCTGGAAAAGTGGGGTTTTTTTCCTCCCTGACACATGGACAGGGCCTGATCTCATCGCTCTGCTCCTCCTTCCCTAAGTGCCGCCATAAATCTTTTCCTGGGATGGAGACGCCAAACTGGAGACCACGGTGAAAATAAGGCTGGGGCCTTCCCGATAAAACAGAATTATGGGGGGGTTTGGGCTGGAAGGGACCTTAAAGATCATCCTGTTCCTGTGGGCTCATGATGGGATGGAGGGAAGAGTGATGCAAGAGGAGCTGTTTAATTCCTCCCACCTCTGAGCATCCCCAGCCTCCTCCTCCGGCTGGGATGGATCCAGGAACCCGGGCCTGGCCCGCGGCAGGGGTGGAATGGGATGGGCTTTAAGGTCCTTCCAACTGAACAATTGCACGATCCCAGGATTTTAGTGCACTTCACTATCCAAGCTGAGCTGGGGGAGGGCGTTCAGGCAAAGATTGGGATTGGGAAGAGCCAGAGGGGGGAAAGCCGGGATGGTTTGTGGCTCCTGAGCCCCCGTTTTGGGTCTCAGGGCAGAGAGTCCCTGCTGGGACCAGGAATATTTTATTTATTAATTTTTTGCCAAGCTGACTCACTCTTCTCGAAGGATGAGCGGGCAAGTGGTCAAACTGGCAAGGGGAGCTGGCAGAAGGCAGGAAAAAATCCCAACCAACCAAATTCCCGGGAATCTTTGCAGATCTCCTGTGATTTGGCCGGAGCTGACAGGGGAAGGGATAATACCTGGGCCTGCTTCCTAATGCCAAGTTTATCAGCTCCAGCTAATCTATAAGAAGCTGGAATCGACTGATTTTGCAAGGAAGAACTTGGCTTTTTAGGAATTCCAACAGTGACTCCGGGCTGGATTGGAGCGGGAAAGGAGTGGATCCAAGGGTTCTGCTGCAAACCCAGTGCTGGGGGCTGGCTTAGCCAAAAAGGGGTGAACTCCCAGCAAAATCCTCAGGGATTCAAGAAGGAAGGAAGCAAAATTCAAACCAGGTGAGGCTTGAGAGGTGTTTTGGTTCCAGGAACGTTTTGGCAGGAGAACAAGTGGGACAAAGAGCTTCAAAATTAGGCTGGAAATTAGAGCAAGTTTACGGAAGGCCAGAAAGGTTTCTGAGCTGTAAATGTGACACCTGGAATTGCCAGGATGGCACCTGGAGCCACGAGAAACCTGGATCACTGGTGAGTCCTTCTCCATCCATTGTTTGAATCCCTCCAGGAGAGGGATTTGCCACCCTTATTCCTGTTTTTCCAGCGTTTTTGTACAGAAAGTACATTCCAATAAAAAAAAAAGCAGCAGACACTGAGCAAAGGGGTCAGAGGGAGAAATCCACATTACTGGGAACATTAAAAAGCATCCTATGGGTAAGATTTCTGGGAAAGAAGGTCTGTTTCCTGAAATTCACATGGCAGCTCTGGCTGTTCTTTTCCAAGCAAACTTCTCGTTTCCCTGAACCCAAAACCTGGCTGAGGGAAGTATGAAATTCCTGTTTTATTGTTGGGATCCTGTGCAGGGATGCTCAGCTCTCCTCCATCCCACACCCAGAGCTCTCCCATTATCCAGTCTCTACCACGAGGCTGCAACAAGCCCTAAACTCTTTCACCCCATGAAAGAACGTCCACCCTGTGGACCTTTTTTCCATGGAAAACCTGGAAATTGGCATTTTTCCCGCAGGTTTCACTGGGAATGGTGAGGATGGGGTTAAGCTGGCAGTGAGCTCATCCCTAATGAACAGCCTCAAGTTTTCCTAAGGGGCCAGATTGGCTCCATCTGATCCACTTTGTCTCCAGGTCAATACTTCATCAGGCAGCTTTGGGGCTGGTTTATTTTCCTCTTTAAATGCATCTTTCTCTTCTTATAGGAGGGAAGGTTTTCTCTCCCTCCATTACAGAGCTTCATGTATTTTTCAAATGGCAAAATTCAATTAAAACACACGCCAGCTGCAAGGAAATACTTCAGGAAAAATTCAGAGAGAGCATTTGCAGGGCGTTTAAGACTCTGTCATCCAAACCCCGGGGTCAGGAAAGCCTTGGGATGCACCTTGTCCTGGGAAGGGATGGCTGGACGAAG